ATACCCCATTGAGATCAGATAGACAATTGTGTTCTTGAGTGATCATTCTGCAGCAAGCAATAATTTAAAAAAATTCTTCCCAAAAAATTAGCATGAGATTGCAAATTCCCAACAATTGGGTCTTCAATAATATGACACCAAGCTCTACAAATTGTCAAATTTTCTTGAGTGGTGAATGATTTTCCTTTTTTTTGTTTTTGATGAACCTTCCATACTGATTGTGTAAAAAGTAAACAAAAAAAATTATGTAGATTGAAAGTTGTGTATTCAAATTGAGATTGGTTGTTTATTTTTATAGGGAGTAAAAATATGAACTTTTTTTTTATCCGTTCAATTTATAATCGTTAAAAACCAACTATTTCAAACTTTTTTGAATTGGAGGAAAAAAAAGAGTCGTTGCTCAATTTGTGTATTCTAATGACAAAAGAGCACTGATGGATTAAATAATCCAACGGTTCAGATTGTTGCTTCTTTCTATCTTTCTTATCTCTCTGTCTCTCTGTCTCTCTTATCACTTTATCTTTCTTCATTCCAGTTCATCTCCCAACTCTGCTTTCTTTCTATCCAACACTGTCTCTCTTGTCTCTCCAATGGCTCTCCAAAACCAGTCTTTATCTCTCTCCCTCGCCCTTACCATCTCAATTCTTCTTTATTCACTCGCTTCCTCTGTGTCTCATCTTCTTCATCACCACAACACCAAGAACCACCACCACTACAACCAACGGAACCACCACCACACCCATCGCTTATCTCTAACCCTCAAACCCCAAATATGATTCTCTCTTCTCCAACCCTCTTCTCCCTCTGTCTCTCACTTTCTTCATCACTACAATAACTACCACAACCACAGGAACCACTACCATCACAACCAATAGAACCACCACCATACCCATCGCCAATCTCCAACCCTCAAACCCTTCAAATCCTTTTCTCTTCTCTAACCCTCTATCTCCCATCTTCTTCCTCTTCGATCTCTCTCTTCTCCATTCGTTCTAAATTGCCGATCTCTAATGATTGAAACCCTAACCCTAATCAAAATGATCCTCTCTCTCCCTTTTCGATCTATCTCTCCCTCTGTTCTAAACCTCTTCTCCAATGATCCCTCTTTTTGATGATTCAAACCCAAAACCCTAATGAAGACCTCTTCTCCAACAATCCCTTTCTTTCAGTGATGATCCAAATCTGAAACCCTAATGAAGAGCATCCAAAGAACACGAAGAAGATCAACCCACTCTGTTAGGTTTTTTTTCTGATTTTGAAATATTGCTTAAATTTAATTATTTTTTTGTTTGGCTTGAAATTGCTGAAATTTTGCTTCTGTGTTTGCTTGTGAAATTTTGCTTCTGTTTTTATTTTTTGGTGATTTTTGAGTGAATTTTGCTTCTACGTTTGGAACTATTTGCTAGGAAAGATGATGAGAAAGGGAGGGAGGGAAGGAGAAAACAGTTGGTTTTGGTGACTTGGTAGCTTTGGCAGCTGCCAAAGCTTGTGTCATATTTGACATAAGTTTGATATTTACCAAAAATAATAGCTGTCAAAACTTACTATTGGTGGTGGATTTCTATGAACTGCTTCCATAATTTGGCAATAACAGCTCCAATGGCTTGCCATTGAAGATGATCTAAGTGAGGATATGTTACACCTATTTTTTTTTGCAGTGTGTAATACAAAATTTCCAATGCAATACTTTAATATTAGGAGAAATAATACAATAGTATTGTTGACATCCCACTGTACCAAAAACATTTTATTTTGTCTTTATTAGATAGTTACAATAAAAATTCCTCAGTCATGTCTTTCCTTATTAATGCACTTTAAACCAATTTGAGAATAATTTTTTTTAGCTTTTTTGGTTAAAATAGCACTAAACAACAAAATATCACATCAAACCCATAATCATTTTACTTTTTCTCTCACAAATATCACATCCAACTACAAAAAAATCTAACTATCTTCCCAACATAAAACTTTTAACCTCCTAAAATAGCAACTTTCCAAACACCCACTAAGAGATAAATGTTGTCAAATACAAAATTTATTATTTCTCCTCTTTAATGATATAGTAAAAGGCTTGTTATTGTAAAAAATTAGCATAAAACTCAATTTTGAGCTCCCAAATCCTAAAAGTAATTTAAAATTAGTGTTCATTTTAAAAAAATAAAAAATAAAAAAATTACACTTATAATCAAAGCCATTTGTGTAAAAATTATACTGTAAAAAGCACTATACTCCCTTTAGTTTGAATATATGCAGATACTTGTCCTATGATTTTGGACTAATGTGCAATCATAACACCGTTAACGGTAGGTGTTAAAAAGACTAATTTATCCTTACATATGAAGAATTCTCTCTCTCTCTCTCTTCCCTAATACATATAATTTTATATATTAATCACATATTTAACAAATTAAATCAAACACCCTAATCTATTATCATAAAGTTACCTTAATTAATTTTTATTTTTTAACTTAATTTATTATTTAATAACATTTTAAATTATATATACAAATATATATATATATATATATATATGCATATATAATTAAACCATATATACATATAAACACATTGACCATATATTATATGTAATAAAACTTGAAATTGAATATGTTAAATGTATTAAATATAATTTATTTTTATTAAAATATCCCAACATCACCAACCAATACCTTGGAAGGGGTTGAACCCACTCACCACCTTGCCTTTGTCTATTTTAGTTTTGTAATAGATATTAAAAATATATAATTTCAATTATATATGTTTATTTTGCATTATTAGTTAGGATAAAAAGCACTTTGGGTTGTTTAGGAAGTTGCTAAAAGTTGATTTTTTAAGTTTTTTTTTGAAAAAAAATGTGTAAAAAAATAGAGAGGTGATATGATCCAAATTTGGCACTCATCCTCCTACGGGTGCCCTTGTGGTTTGATGTTGAAATACTTTATCCACTTTTAGTTTGAATATATACAGATACCGCTCTTGTGGTTTTGGACTAATGTGTATCCATGACGCTCTTAATGATAGACATTAAAAAGACTAATTTACCCTTAAATAAAAAGACCTCTCTCTCTCTCTCCCCCCTAATACATATAATTTTCTATATTAATAATATATTTAACAAATTAAATAATAAATTAACTTAAACACCCAAACCTATTATCTTAAAATCACCTTAATTAATTTTTAATTTTTAACTTGATTTTTTATTTAATAACATTTTAAATTATATATACAAACACTTATCTTATCTTTTTTTTTTTTTAATTTTAATTTTTTTTGTTGATTTGTTTAATTTTATTTCTACTCTATTGGGCAATTTGTTAGGAACATTGCAATATCTACTACTGGTTGCCTCTCTTTTATAATTTTTAATTTATGATTTGATTTTATGGTAGTAAAGGTGTTTAGATTAATTTATGGTTTAATTTATATGCATATATATTTTTATATATAATTTAAAATGTTATAAAAATAAGAAATTAAGTTAAAATTTTAAACTTAATTAAGGTAATTTTATGATAATAAATTACGGTACTTAGATTAATTTATAATTTAATTTGTTATACATATAAATAAATGTATGTTTAATTTAAAGTATTATTAAATAAGCTTATTTTATGGAAATAAATTTTTATACTGTAATTTAAATTGTTATATATATATGTTTATTTAAAAATATTATTACATAAAAAAGTGGGTTAAAAATTAAAAATTAGATTAAAATAATTTTAAGATTTAAACAAAAAAATAAAAGTAAACAACAAAAAGAAAAAAAAAAGAGAGAGAAAAAAGACACTCATCTAGCACAATAGAGTAGAAGAAAAATTAAAGAAATCAAAAGAATAAAAATAAATAAATAAGAAATGGAATTGGCACAATAAAATAGAAAGAAAATTAACAAATGAAAAAAGTAAAATTAAAAAAAGAAAAGAGAGGTAGTAGTGTACAATTTTGGTGAGTAATAACAACTCATTTGATATCATTTTCTTATATAGTGAGTGTTAAGATCATTTTCGTCTTTTGAACAAATTATTTTTTGAGGGAAAAGCATCAAATGAAGCCATACATCCGCATTGAGCGTGTGTATCACACCTCTCGTTTGTTTGGATAAAAATGTAACAATTGCACATTAGTTCAAAATTATAGAGGAAGTGTCTGCATATATTCAAATCACAAAATAATGTGCAACACCCTAAAATCGCAGAGTAAAGTGCTTTTTATCCAAAATTATATAATAAAGCAAATGTTTTTTTGAGGAAATGCATCAAACGAAGCCATACATGCTCATTGGGAGTGTATCACACCTCCCGTTTGTTTAGATAGAAAAAATAATAATTGCACATCAGTCTAAAATCATAAAAAAAAGTATTTGCATATATTTAACCACTACAGGAAATAGCATTTTTGCCGACTAAAAATTTGGTTGGCAAAAGTCCATTTTATTCAGCAAAAGCTATTCGCGACAAATTTTTTTGGTCGCCACTTTGGTTGCTAACTGAGGGTCGACAAAAGTAATTAGCGACCAAAACTTTTGTTAGTCGGGAAAAAATTGGATTTGCTAACTAAATTTTTGGTCGCTAAATATATCATTACTGCGACTAATCCATTTAGTCACTAAAACACTTTAGTCGCAAAAAGTGACATATTCCCGACCAAATATGTTAGTCGCTAATTGTCACATTCCACGACCAAAAAGTAGGCCGCCAATTATCACATTCCACGACTAAAAAGTTTGGTCGCCAATTGTGACATTCCACGACCAAAAATTTTGGTCGCCAATTGTCACATTCCACGACCAAAAAATTTGGTCGCCAAAAGGAATGTTTGCGCCGACATGCAGCAAAATAAACTTGTAATTCATAATAATCCATTCAATACAATATGTAATTTACAATAATCAATCAAACCAACAATTCACCTGAATCCTGAACATTCAACAAAATATATAAATCATCAAATTCTAAAACTGTTTAATTAAAATCAGTTAAGTTTTCATCCACAAGTAATTCCAAACTACATATTCCTTCAATTAAAAATCCTCTTGTAATCTATATAATCATCCAATTCACATCCATCTAGCATTAAAATTTAAAACATATTCCTTAAGTGAAGAGTAGAACTCCTTTCGCAGAGCATCAATAGTTTTCATTGATTGAGCAGAAATAAAATTCTTCCAACAGTATTCATATCTAGCTACATCTCTTTCAGCTTCTTTCCAGTCCTCATAAGCCCAGACAAGAGCAAGGTGATCACTGTAATCACGTGAAAATTGTGCTTTTACTGCTTCTGCTAGCTACAAAGAGAAAGGCACACAAATCAATTAGTAAAATAGATAAGATAAGATACTCAATTTTCTAGCAAAAACTATCTATTAGTGAAACCACAAGCCTTGTTACACATCATGTGCCTAAAATAGTAATTCAATAACCACCTCTAACCTCTGTTTGGAATTCTTTTGATCCTTGCTTAGAATCAGTTGCAAGCACTTTAACAACAACTATCTTACGCGTAACATCTGAGCTTTATAAACTGGACCAAATGCCCCTTGACCAATCAATGTGGTAAAATTACAGGATGCTTTTGCAAATCCCTGATTTAGTGGCAACAAAAACAAGTTAACTGACAAGGAAAAGATAAGCATGCCTTTTGTTGATGATTTAACAATGAATGAAGGTTAAGAAATAGAAAGAAACCAAGAAAACTTATCAACCATCAAACTAAAGCATCCACTACCCATCTAAAAATAAATAAAAATTAAAGCCTCTGTATTGCATACTTGCAATAAAGAATATTGGTGTTAGCCATCTCACACAACAATTTAAAAACAAGAAAAGATAAATACATTATACGGTATCCATAACATTCCATAACAATGTTTTAAGCATTATTGACATTCAAATCAGAGGCTGCATGTCCAATTTTTCCCTTAGATGCTTACGGACCAATTTTGTCATACAAATCAACTAGTAGCAGAGATGATGGATTAAGGTGTCACCCCAAGCAAATTATCTAACCATCCTCCAGTATGAGGAGACTTATCTAGATATCGGGGCTGTTTGGAGACTGTTTCCATAAACATGCACTCATGTTTTTATGAGAGTAAGCCATCAAGCAACAAAAATGGGAGGTTACTAAATGATTTGTTACTCGTCGCTAAAAACGTGATTTTTAGCGGCCAAATTAATTTTGTCGTTAAATAGTATTTTTGGCGACGCATTTATTTGTCGCTAAAATTACATAGCCTATCCAAATTTTAACCTTTTAGCAACAAATTGTACTTTTATAGTGACAAAATATATGATTTTTGGCGACCAATTTTGCTTGTCGCTAAATGTCTACCTACGGTGACAATTTCTGATTTCGTCACCAATACTTTTAGTGACAGGCCTTTGGCGACAAGTTGTATATTTGTCGCCGATTCTTTTGGCGACGGAATTTGTACTTTTGGCGACAATTTTTGGGTTGCCAAATGTGTTTTTTGTTGTAGTGTACATATAATTTTTAAAATAAGAATGAACATCAATGACCAACCCCAAGAACTTTTGTTTTTGTGTTTGATTCTACCTAAACTAGTTGACAACCCTATATATCTCTATGTACCAATTAAAATTCCACCCACCCAAAATCTCCAAGAACAACACTTCAACATTTGTTAGCACACAAAATAACTTCTTTTTTCTTTATTGACTAAGGGACGAATTTGCATCATTGTCAACACTTCACATCCCAACTATGTTGGCACCCAAGGCTAAGACCAATCATGTGCATTCCCAAAGCAACAACAGATTGGAGAGGTTCCAATACAAAGATACAGCAACCAAACAGGCTCCACCTATGACCAATAGCAACTCACCAAAATAGAGTACTATTCAGCCACCATTTGCAATACAAAATTGAACCGTTAGATTAGTTACAAAATTGAATCATTTAGTATAGATTCTCCCCTTATGTTCTGAAAGTTACATTCCCCATCTTGAGGTTTATATTAACATTACAAATTTACCATTTCGTTAATTAACCGTTAGATTAGTTAACAACTTTGCTGATGTCATCTATTGATTTTTTTTTAAAACACCAATTTTACCCTCAAATGCAATCTCCATCCAGCAGAAGCGTATATTCTCCCTTAATATATTTATTTCCTTATCATGGTTTTTACCACCAAGAACTTTCCCAGCAAACAAGAACAATAATGTTTAGCAAAAAAAAAAAAAAAACAGAAGAAAGTTGACACTTGTCATCAAACATTTTGTGGGTACCCATTGCCTCATCAACCAGAGAAGCTATTACACAATTTTGGAACCAACACATTTCATTAAACATTTGGTAGGCAACCCCACCTCCCCACACTGTGTTGCCAATACCCATTCAGTCAAAGAAAAGAGAGAGATATGCAACTATTCAATGCCCACATCTCACTCCTCGCAATCGGCCCTCTTCCACCGTCACCTTCACCATCACGTACACCCCAAATCTTCATCCTTTTTCATCTTAACTCTATATCTCTACCATCGCCGAACCCAGCATGACCACTATCTGTGGTTTGTCAGCAATCAGCATAGCCATCACAACAATCATATGGCCATTGATAGTGTCAAAGAACCCTCTCCAGCACCATAGTATTTACCTTAACTTTCTTTCACTCGCATTCTTTGTTATTTACAAATACACTTGACCCCAGAAATTCTAGGGTGCATAAATAGTGTTTCCCTATAAAAACACACACACACACACACACACACAGGTGTACATATAAAAGGTGAATTGTTATTGATATACCTTGGAAACAGTGGCTGAAGAAAGGGGTTGGGTGGCAGAAGCAGAGATCCCTGGGTTTGAAGGAGGATTTGTCCGTGAAATTGACGAGACCTGCAAGACAGAAAGCACAAATATATAAAATTAAACAACCATGTGCCAATGTAGATTCATTTTTCAATTTGGAACTGGACAATAATCTAATCGGATTGAAAAAGCAAGCATTTTAGTAGAAAGAAAGAAAGAAAGAAAGGATTAAAAGAATAAGAGACAGACAGTGAGTTTAGGAAAGGCAAAGGGATCATCGTCAAGAGGGTTTTGTCTGCGTGAGAAAGACCTGCATGTTTGTACAATTTTCCTTGCTGCTCTTTTCAGTTTCAACAAAGCTCCTTCTCCCCCTAGATATTAGGGAAACAGATGCAAAGAGAGAGATAGAGAGAAGGTAAAATAAAGAGGACATACCTGAGGGTAATGCTTCAATAGTGGATCGACGGTGGTGCTCGATGGCGGTGATGCTCCTTACCCAACGATGACAGAAACAAAGGTACAAAGATTCAATATCAGAAGGAGGGCAACCGACATGAGAGAGAGAGAGAGAGAGAGAGTGTGTGTGTGTCACAGAGTGAGAGAAACAGATGTTTTTAAGCCCTAACTTATTTTAGTGTGTTTGGAATCCCTCCAAAATCCCTCCAAGTTCCTCACCAACTTAATTTAAAAATCCCTCTAAAATTATAATAATAATAATAAATAAAAAAACAAATTAAACATAAACTCAAATTAGGCGGTATAAGTGTTCCCAAATTAAAAAATAGAGTTTTATTGCTGACTAAAAGCGTTTTGGTTACCAAAAATGTATATTTGCCAACCAAATTAGGTAGTCACCAAAAATTAAAAATAAAATTATACTAGATATTTGGCGATTAAATTTCTTTTAGTCGGCAAAAGTTGGGCATTTACCTTCATGAAATCCATACACGGGCACAGGATTTCGAAACAGCTTTATATGCTTTCACGCCAATTTTGGTTCCCAAATACATGGGCACAGGTTTTAATTTTGGTTCTCAAATAAGATGGGCTTGTTCACTTGAACAGTATTTCTACTAGATTTGAATTTATTGAACACCCTTGTACTCGGTCTTTGTCTTTAGGGTTGCCACTGTTGATGACGATTGGGATGGCGGAGAGAGGGATGGAGGAAGAGAGAAGATGAAGAGAGTAATAGAGGGTTTGGGGTTCGGTCACCGGCAAGGGTTAGGCTTCCACAGAGAAGCATGGGAATGGGCTTCGATGGAGGTAGAGAGAGGGAGAGGGGGTGTGTTCAAAATTTGAAAGAGGAGTGTGTTCAAAATTTGAGAGTATATGTGTATATCAGAGAGAGAGAGAGAGAGAGATGGGGTGTATGAACTGATGTTTGGACCAAATAGAGAGTGAGACATTGAGAGCCCTTGGATTGAATTCAATCTAATGGTGTATGTTTTGACAAAGGGACAAAAGTTTCATTAGGAGTAAAAAAACAGAGCTGCTTTGTTATATAGATGTGCAAAACATATATTGGTCATTTTACACCATTCTCGACTAAATATTTATAAATCTTTTCAAAATTTGAAAAGTTTCCCTCCAAATATTTTAATTATTTGGCAACTAAACAATTTTCTTAGTAGCTGAAAATAAATTCTTGGTGACCAAACTTTTGGTCGCCAAAGATAAAAAGTAATTTTTTGTTTTTCACTCGACGACTGAATAATTTTAGTAGCCAAAACTAACAACACAGTGACTAAAATATTTTTTAGTTGTTGAAAATAATTTTTTGGTGACCAAACTTTTGGTCACCAAAGATAAAAAATAATTTTTTGTTTTTCATTCGACGACTAAATAATTTTAGAAGTCAAAATTAACTATACAGCGACAAAAATATTTTTTAGTCGCTGAAAATAAATTTTTGGCAACCAAACTTTTGGTCGCCAAAGATAAAAAGTTATTTTTTATTTTCCATTCTGCAACTAAATAATTTTAGTAGCAAAAACTAACTATATAGCGACAAAAATATTTTTTAGTCGTTGAAAATATATTTTTGGCAATCAAACTTTTGGTTGCCAAAGATAAAAAGTAATATTTTTCTTTTTATTCGGCGATTAAATAATTTAGTAGCCAAAACTAACTATATAACGACTAAAATATTTTTTAGTTGCTGAAAATAAATTTTTGGCAACCAAACTTTTGATCGCTAAAGATATAAAATATTTTTTTATTTTTCATTAGGCGACTAAATAATTTTGGTAGTCAAAACTAACTATATAACGACAAAAATATTTTTTTAGTAGCTGAAAATAAATTTTTAGTGACCAAAAATAAAAAATAATTTTTTGCCTCCCGTCTATATTTTTAGCGACTAATATTTTAAATTGGTTGCAAAAAATCACTTTTTAGTGACAAAAGTCGACAATAGTATTAACTTTTAGCTACAAAATTTTTTTTAGGTCAGTAAATATCATTTTTTTGCGACTAAAATTTTTTTAATCAACAAAAGTAATTGACAAATGTATAATTTCTTATAGTGAACTCACATAAAATAAAACAACATTCTAAAATCACATAGAGTAAAGTGCTTTTTATTCAAAATTATATCATAATGCAAATTATGACATGTTTTGATTGAGGGAATTTTTAATAACCACATAACAACTGGTTATGAGTATCGATGCATGTGTGAAAAATATATAAAATTTTGTGCAAGTAAAAAATGTATTAAAATGTGAACTTTATCTTTTTCAAATTTTAACTTTATTGTTTTTATTTTAACAACAATTTGTAAAATTGTACT